TGTCGTGGGCCTACTCCCCGCTACCGGCATGTTTACCCCCCTGCAACCCTCCAAAGTCACGGCCACAGGTAAGTACCGGCCCGGTGGGCCTTGCAACCAACAAGTACCCTGGCGGSTTACACACATACCCAACCAGCAAGCAYTCAGACAGGCATGCAACCCAGCAGGCACGCACACACACACATCCGGCAAGCACTCAGACAGGCATGCAAACCAGCAGGCACGCACACACACAGACTTGGGACCACAACAGAATGCGAGAATCACAGCAAGGCATTCATTCCATTGGCAAATCCCATAAATCAGCAGTGTTCTCATTCTGTGTTTTGGGCGGGTCATTACATTACTCCCCTCTCGAGAGCGAGGTCCCTTCGAGCGCGTAACTCAGTCAGAGTCGGCACAGAAGGCGTCATAGGCATAGATAAAAAAAAGAGTGTTAGTGAGTCCGAACGAAGTGAGTTTTGCAGCAAACTTAGTGGTTTGTCCGTCAACAATCTGTCGTTCATATGCGTTCACAACACGTGGAGCACTCTTTATCAGTTCTTTCCGGTCGATCCAAAAGAATTCGTTCAACGGGCGGTAGAGGAAATGAACTTTGTACTGTCTGTTCCTTCTTCTCCCCTCGTGAGAAACGATTCTGTCAATCGCATGACCGCCGTCAATAGGGTGAGGTATCATAGGATCACGGAAGGGAAAAGTCTCATCATCAATGTGTGGGAACAGTTTGGAGGCATGGAAGACTGGATACGTGCGCAGATGAGGAGGCACGTCAATCACATACGAAGGACCGAAATCATCCCCGACTACCTTCAGAATCTGCCWAGGGCCGTAGTAYAGTGGAARAAGCTTYCGTGATATGCCCTCTTCATCAGAAAACTCAGACATTTTGACCCAAACATAATCCCCTACTTTGAACTTTTCTTCTTTGCGCTGCTTATTGGCATGTTTGATCATGGCATGCTGGCGCTTGTTCATAGCTGCTATAGCAGCTTTGAGCAAGCGTGCGTACTTGACATTGTAGCCAGGCATGCCGGGCATCAGACTAGGTGACCGTTCAGGGAACATATAGGAGAGGGGATTACGCATCGGCCATCCATACTGCAATTGGTTTGGTGTCACACCGGTCGCAGAGTGAATGGAGTTGTTGTACAACCCCTTCACTTTGTGCAATTCCTTGTCCCACGTGTTCTGATCTGGAACAATTAGTGCGCGAAGCAATTGAATGACAGTTTGGTTGATCTCCTCAACCAATCCGTTGGCTTCGGGGTGACGACCAGATGTCCTGTTCAGTTTGATGTCGTAGATCTGAGATGTGAAGTCTTTCCAAGCTTTGCTGATGAATCTGGTGTCCCGATCACTCACAATAGTTTTTGGGACGCCGGACTGCAGAATGTACTGCTGATGGAATTCTTCTATGACAAGTTCAGTCGGGGCGTGAGGAGGGAGAGGAATCAAGTTCAGAAATTTGGAGAGGCGGTCCACAATGACCATGACTTGTGAATTCCAAGCCTCACTCACCTTTCCCATGTCCGTGAAGTCGATGGAAATCGACTCGCCGGGTCCATCCGGAATGGGAAGAGGTCTCAGCAGGCCATAAGGCTTTTGCCTGTGAACCTTAATCCTTTGGCATACTTGACATTCAACAATAAATTTCTGAGCAGATCCTTTCATTCCTGGCCAGTCAAATTGTTGCAGAAGACTTCCATAAGTCTTCTCAAAGCCGAAATGTCCACTCCGACCGTGCGCCAGATCCAAGAAGTGAGTTCGGAGAGGCGCATGGTTGGGTACACACAAACAGTCAAACTTTCCGTACCGTTGAAATACCAGACCCTCGCATTCATGAAAATCAGGCTGACTGTTGGGGTCAGCCTTGAGCTGCTCAAGGATGGGACTAAGGTCCGGATCCTTGGCAGTGTGCTCGACCAGATCCTCCTTCAGTTTCCTCTGGAGGTCGTACGAGTCCACAAGGCAAGTCAAATACTCGGGATGGCGCGACAGAGCATCAGCAACACGATTATAGCAGCCTTTCTTATGTTTTAGTTCAAAGTTGAAAACATCAATGTCATGCAGCCAGCAGGTCAGGGTTGGAGAGAGGTCGGTTTGTGTCTTAATCCATTGCAAGGTCTGATGATCTGAATAGACCTTGAAGTGGCGACCCAAGAGGTAGTGCTTCCAATGCGTGAGCGCCTCGCGCAAGGCGTAGAGCTCTCGCATGTATGTGGAAGTGGTTACCTTGTGGCTGGGCATGCGTTTGCTGTAATATTCAAGCGGACGCAGACCATCGCCATCATCTTGTTGCAACACTGCACCAATCCCAAACTGGCTCGCATCCGAGTGACTACGAACGTGAGGTTGGGATCCGCAATGCGGAGCACATGATGACTCACCAAAGCCTCTTTCAAGGCTTGGAACGCAGTCTCACACTTTTCACACCACGCATAGGCAACATTCTTACTAGTCAGGCGTGAGAGTGGGTGAGCAATGACAGAGAACTTAGGCACAAACTTCCGGTAGTAAGAAGCCAAACCAAGAAAAGAACGCAGCTCGCGTACATTCACCGGTTGAGGCCAATTGCGGATGACCTCAACCTTGGTTGCCTCCGACTCAAGACCGCTTGCAGACAATCGGTGCCCAACGTAGATAACGCTGTCCCTGCCAAACTCAGATTTTTCCAAGTTGAGGTGCAGTTGAGCATCTTTGAGGACTTGCAAGACCTCCTCAATATGCTTGACGTGCTCCTCCATGGACTTGCTGAAAATCAGAATGTCATCAAGATACACAACCACAAACCTGTTAAGTTGGTGGCGGAGTACCTTGTCCATGAGGGACTGAAATGTGGCTGGTGCGTTCATAAGGCCGAAGGGCATAACGATGAATTCGTACAGCCCATCACGTGTCTTGAACGCAGTTTTGTGCTGGTCGCTCGGATTGACTTCAATCTGGTGGTAGCCAGACTTGAGGTCAATCTTGGAGAAGACTTTGCATCCACCGACCGCATCCAACAAATCATCTATACGAGGCAAAGGGTAGGCATTCTTCCTTGTGATTCGGTTTAAACCATGATAATCAATGCACATCAGGAGTTTGCCTCCTTTCTTCGACACAAACAAAACAGTGCGCCGAACTCAGACTCGCTAGGCCTAATCCATCCACGATCAATCATGTCATCAATTTGTCTCCGCAGCTCCTCCAACTCGCCTTGTCCCATACGGTAGACGCAGCCCTTTGGAGAAACACTTCCCTCTATTATCTCGATTTTGTGCTTGACTGGACGCTGGGGAACTCCGCGGGGTTCAGCCAATACCTCAGGAAATTGATCTAACAGATGGCGAATGTTCGCTGGGATTTCTGGTGGAGGATCATCCTCATCAGGGGAGAGAAAATCAGATTGGGAATTTTCAGCAATTACAACCGGTTTCGAAATATTTGGTTCTGCACTAGATCGATCATTTACAGTAGAAGTAGGTGGAACAAAAGTAGAAGTACTAGAGGTAGAGTTACCCTCAGAGGTAGAAAATGCAGCAAAAGTAGAAGACACATGAAAAGGCTTTACAAGAGCTATACGTACAAACCCAGCTTCCTTGCGCCTGCGCACTGACCTGCAGAATTTGTTAGCACTTAGAAGAGTCACAGGGGACTCGCGCGTCTCATCTAGTAAGATGGTACGCTCGTTCCCCTTGGCATCAAGTACCACGAACTGATTGTCCGCCCACGTGGTCCTTAGGCAATGAGCCTTTAGCCAGCCCAAGCCAATGACCGCGTCGAAAGGACACTTGTCCAAGACATAAAAATTCAGCTCGTGTATGATAGTGCGGTCTTTGTCAAAGGTGATGCGCACACCTTTGACAGCATGAGTGGAAGTGACAACCTCTTGGTTGCCCGCCTGAGTCCGGCAAGGGTTCTGCAGTTCCACTTGCTTTATACCCAGGCCCGCCTTACGAATCCCGTTCGGAGAGAAGAAGTTAGTGGTCGAACCACTGTCAATCAGCACGCGGATGTATCGGCGGTTAATGAGCAGTTTAAAGAAAGTCAGTTCCACGCTCCATTGGACACGGCGTTGCTGCTTGAGCTGCAGCAAATGCTCCATGTGGGCGTGGAGGTCGACCTCTTTAGACTCCTCCCAAGGCTCAATGTATAACACTTGGACTGTCTCAGCCTTTGAATCAGCGTTAGTTTGGGCTTCAAGAGCACGCTGCTGATCAGATCCAGGCTCCTCGGAGGGACTTGCAACTGACTGCTCAGCTTCTCTTGTTGTAGAGAGTGTTGATGTCTCCTCTACGCCCCTTGCCTGTTTCCCTGAAGACGATAGCAATCCTGCACAGCATGCCCAGGCTTTGAACAATGCAAGCATACGCGCAGTTTGGACCTTCTTTCCTATTCTTTTTGGCTGATGCGGAGGGCTTCCCAAGGCTTGGTAGAAGCGTCCTCCGGTTTCTCAGGGATCTTCGCATTTTTGGGAAGGTGTAAGACAGTTCCCTTACCCGAACCACGGTTAGGCCGCTTATTTCAAGCAGTCTTTCTAAATGCATTAAGTTTTTCATCATCATTTCGGTCACACTCAATGGCTGATGTGGAACAGCCCGTATCGGAGTCCGACTCTAGATCGTCATCTAGAGGCAGATCATCCGCATAGGACTGATCGTCAGCCTCCCGATGATCATGCAGTGCAAGCTGGTTGCTGCCTCCAAACCGCTTGCGTTGTGGTTTCCCACCTGCAGCCGGCGCCTTCTTGCGCCTGGCGAGGTCCTTGGCCTCTAGGTCGACTAGGTCCTTCATGAGCTCTCGCCAGGTAGCATGGTCCTTGAGTGCTAGCAGGGATAGGTATTCTTTAGGGGCCACTCCCATGACTACATCCATGCAAGACACGTCAGTCATTCCTAGATCCGGAGTGGTGAATAGACCAGTCCGGTTCTGTTCCAAAGCCTGCATGGATGACCTCCATGTTTGGCCCTTGAGGGCCTCAAGCTTCAGTCTAGCCTTGAGCGCAACATGTTTATCCTGATACTGGTCAAGGAGAAGATCCTCAAGGGTGCGAACAGGGGGTGACCTTCAGCCAATTAGTCAAGTCTATGCGTGCATAGCCTGCAGCAACAACTTGGAGCTCAATGTGGTTTCGTACGGCAGGCTCGGTATTAGTTCCCATGATCATACTTCGGTCCTCTTGCGGTGTTCGCATGACCTCGAAGTATGACCGCATGGAACTAATCCAAGAGGTGATGTTAGCTTTCCCGTCGTACTTGGACGGCAGCGTGGCCGCCCGCTTGTCCACCATGGGACCGCTGTACTGAACGCCAGTAAGGACTGTGGCGTTTTGGGCTGAAGTCCCTGCATTTGGGACTGCGATCAGTGCAGAACTACCGGTGCTGCTGCTTGAGGAGCTTGCTCCGGTTCCTGCACTTACCGCAGTTCCGCTGGCCCTTGGAACGAGGGTTGTGTTGGGCTGAGAGACTGGGATTACAGCAGATCGAGGGTTAGGAGGGCGGGAGGCAGACAACTGGAACTGTTCAAGGCTAATTACCTTAGCCTGCAACTCTTCGTTCCGCTGCTCAAGTGCTATCATACGAGACTCAAAGTCTTCCAAGGTCCGCTGTCGGACCAAGGCTGCTACAGCAGCAGCTAGTTCCTCCCAGGACCGGTCAGCATTAGCTTCCGGGATCCGGAGGAGAGCCACCTGATCAGCAATGTCGGCGGCTCTAGCTGCTGCCGCTGCCTCCCTTTCTCTCTGCACGGCATCATCATACAGTTTTTGAAAGAATGTTTTCTGGCTCTCGTCCGCTGTATCCAGCATGGCCTGCCATTGGGCAGATGTGATGTTCGCCATGCCGGAGGAAGGGGTGTCAGTAGAACTCTCAAGAGGGGTCCGCTCTCTCCTGACGTTTGGACGAACACTCCTCTTGCCCCTTCTCACACTCTCAAACAACACACCCTCTCTCTCCCTTTCCTCTCTTTTCGCTGTCTGCGCACGCATCCCGATATCGGACATAGATAATTTAGATAGAAGAAACAAACAGGAAACCACTCAAAGAAGAAGGTAGAACTCCTGGCCAGAGCGGCGAATCATTTGGACTGAGAGCGTGGCACGCATCAGAAGAATAAATAAAAATAAATCAGCAGAGAGGTCTGTTTTATAGAACGGGCCCAATCAGATCAGCTGGAGATCCCCTCTTCTCTAACCTGACAGGGGACATGTCAACATAATAAATCAGACGAAGAAGACTAATCTGCAGCAATGGAGATTTCGAGGGGTGCAGATGGTCGCCGGATCAGACGCGAGGCGGTATGTGCTAACCTGCGGTAAGGCCAGTCAAAATCCCCTTGAAAGGAATGCCCTTGCTGTCTGTGTGTCCCCCCAGATGCAGCACAGCAAAGAATGCACTGACGGCAACAGATTTGGGCCCAAAAGGTCCTGACCCGTTGGGCCTGGTCCCACTGGGTCTTGAGTGGTCCCAAGTAGGCTGTGGACCAGGACCAACATGATAGGGGTACCAAGTCGGTCCCAAACTGCCTCTACCGTGCTGAAAAGGAAAAGACAACTTTCAACAAGAACTCACTTCTACAGCCGTTCAGAAAAGAAAAGACAATGCACAGTAGAAAGATATGTCATTTAGAATAGATACATCATCCATCCATCCATCAGGTGAGAAAGCAATCCACAAGCTCACACACACAACCAAGACCTCAGAGAAGAGGAAGAGAACCCAGCACACCCCCAACAGGCCATGAAGCACCAAGCAACCTCCCACGGGCTTTCCCCGGTCACACGGCACTTACCTGTGAGGCCTGGCCTCCAAAGATGGATAACGAGTCACTCCCCTCTCATATAAGTCCTCCTGACCCCTAGCTACCACTACACGAAGTGTCCTCGCATGACTAAGAGGGCCTTCCTACACCCTTATTGCAAAGCCGGATCCCCCGTCGATGCCTGAAGACCAAAGTAGCAATTTGCAGCAATCCGATGAAGATATGGCAGCCTCCGATCAAGTCTCCCTCTTGAGGGGAAGCCCAAAAGTCACTCAATGTCTTTCTGAAGTCCAGAATCCAGGTGCGAGTACCTCTCACTCTCTACTCCCTCTCGCTTACTCCAATCAGCCTCCTTTGTGTCTCGCCACCCCATACATTCACTCAAAAAACCTGGTTGGGTCCAATGTCGACCCTACATGACCTAACCAGGTGGGGGCAGCATCCCCATACCTCGCTGCCCCACTTAACCCTAACCTCCCAACCCTAATCCGAGATTAGGTCAGCCCTAACCTAATTCGGAATTAGGGTTAGGGTGGTTAACACCTCTCACCAGCAAGTAAGTCCGCTCCGATACCAATTGTTACGATCCTGGTCATTTCCCAAGTGCAAATTCACAATGAAAGACAATGCCACCCAATTGCGAAAGAAATGAAAGCACTTGCAAGAGATAAAG